CTTCATAGGTCACGGCAGGACGGGCGGAGGAGCATCAAGTACATCTCGTGGAACGACTTCACTTACTTTGGAAATTTTTTAATCTTCACATGCCGGGCTCTTTTGGAGGCGGCATATCTGAAAAGCATGACGACTTGGTAAAGGATAAATAAAGGAAAAAGCTCTCAGCGTTGACCAATCTCTTACGCATACACAATGCATTCGACTTCCCGTTTGGAGGTGATTCAATGCATATCTGTCTGGCCTTTACAATGACTCGCCATAGCCTGCCGATGTATCGAGCCAGAGCTGCTATTCTGGCAGATGAGTCTGGTACCAATTTGCCGACTCTGGGGTGGGTGATGGAAGACTTGGTGGGCCATGGGCGCGGAGATCCATTCCACGTGTTTGTAACACGGCGCGTGTAAGCCCATCAGTCACCTCTGTCACCTGTAGTCCCGTTGATCGTCGAGTGACTCGAACGGGCGCTAGTAAATTTTCCATTTTTCCCTGTCGCGTGCAAGAGTAGCGCAGTGGGTTCTGCTCACTCTAGGGATTCGTCGAGCATCAAATCTTTCTTCCAGGATCTCCGCGAAGAACGCTGACCGGTGGTCTTCCTGCAGTGCGTTTGACATCCCGAGGAATCCAGTCACTAACGGCTTTTGTCCATCGGTTGTCATTCATACGCATTACGTGTCCCCATCTTATCTTCGACTGTTTGGCGTACAGAACGGTATCTTTGAGTTTTGATCGTTGAAGCAGGTCTCAGCTTCGGATCCCATCCCTTAGTTGTGTGAAACGAGTTACTCCTATATCGTCCTTTCGACTGCGCGTTCAATAACGCTGAGTGATCCTTTCATCCTTCTTACGCAGCGACCATGTTTCCTACCCATACGTTAGGGCAGGAAGTACCGTTGAGTCGAAAAGATGGGCACGGAGTCGGATATTCTTTGTGCTCTTCACTACATCCTCGGTGCTCTTGAAAGGTCTCCAAGCTGCGCGTTTCCTTCTGCTCGCTCTGGAGCTAGGTCATTCAACATGTCGATTTCCCGACCTAGATAAGTACAACTGATGCGTTCAGAGATATTCGTTCAGTTGAGCGTGAATGAGGTGTACGAAACTAGTCCGTCATGAACATCGTTTTTATGAGATTTAGTCGAAGACCAATCTTTCCACAGGCTTTATCAAAGTCGCCAAGCATACGCTCCGCTTGGCTAATGTTTGGTGTTATAAGAACGAAGTCATCAGTAAAGCGAAGATGGTGTAACTGCCGACCATCGATTTTCAGACCAATGTTGTACCATTCCAATGTTCGCATAACGTTCTCGAGGATGGCGGCAAATAATTTTGACGAGTTGGTATTGTCTTGTCTAACCCGTCTTTTGAGACCAATGTTAATATCGTTGTAGAATGGTGATATCATAGAACTAGCTGAGAGACAGGCAGAACGAAGGACCCGGATGGTGTGGTGATGAAGTGCGCGCAACTCCCCGGTAAGGACAATAGCGCGTTCGTTCTCCACCGCATACACCTGCGGTCCGAAATTTTGCAAATATCTCAGCATCATTGAGGTGATATCTTAGTTGTGAAACTTTTGCACAGCTCACGAAGGTGGTTCAACATATTCATCCTCCTTTATTTCTTATGACGGGAGGTGGACGTGGCTATCGAAGAGATCTGAGCAGTACTTGTAAACGATTTTCTCCATTGCCTTTCTGGACACTGTAACTGTTCCGTCTGGGCGTCGGAGTACATCTATCTTGGCCTAGTAATTGGCGAAGCTTTGATGGGTTTTGCGAATGTTTTTCCCATCTCCTCGCGCTCCGACCATTACTGCTACTCTTCTCTTTTTAAGATCTTTTTTATCGCCTGTCTGCATTGGTTTATGTGTTCGGACGTTCGTGCGCCGTTGCCTGCAGATCCTGCGATTCCACGCCGGTGTATCACCCCGTCACCCCGAGTCTTTCTGGAGACAGACGCCTTTTGGTGACTTTCGAACTGTCAGCTTTCATAGCGCTAACGTGAAGTTGTTGAATGAGCCGATCGTATTCTTTGTCGATGTTTCGACAACGGCATCTTCGCAACAGCCGACTAATGAATTGAATAACTCCCAGTTTACGGTGGTTCTGGGACTTCCATTTTTGAGTTTAGCGCCTTTTTCTCCATTCCGCGAGAAATAGAATCTTGCACGAAGGAGACAGTGGCCTGATCTCGTGTAGAATTTTGGGACAACAGCGACATCGGTTAGGCAAAACCTTCTATTTACTGTGATGTGGTTTATTTCGTTATGGTACTCTCTATTGGGAGATTCCCACGTTCAGCGTTGAAGGTGGGGCTTCTGCAATTGCCAGTTACTATGGATGGTCTTGGTCGCCATGATAAACTCGGATACCCACTTACCCTCTTCGTTCCATTCTAATCCGTGGGTGCCAACGTGACGTTCATCTTGGTCCAATCTTGGCGTTGAAATCTCCAATGATGACCTTGAAGAATGTATGGTCTTCTCTGTAGAACTACTCCAAGTCCATACAGAGCGCTTCGACTTTTGCTTCATCATAGTTTAATGTTGACGCGTAAACGACGAAGATTGTTAAACCCAACATTGATCCGCATCCCTTTAATCGCAAAGGTCCGATTTGGGTTGTTAGTTGCTCGAATGAATCAATGTTCATGGACAAGCTCGAGTTGACGAGAACACCGACGCCGCGGACTCCTCTGCTATCGCGTGTTCCGAGGAACAGTTCATCTCCGGTGTCATAGACGGCGTTGAATGGGTGATGTCGGCTCGTTTCGGCCAGGCCGATGACGTCGTGCCTTATCCTTCTTGCTTGTATAAGCAAGTCTTCTGTCGAGGATTCGGATGCAAGTGTGCGTGCATTGTATGTGCAGGTCGTCACCTTAGTTCTTTGTAATGCAGGCAGCTCCCATTGGCCCTGAGATTTTAGCAGCCTGCTGCTCTTCTTTCTTTAAGATCTTCTTTTGTCACCTGTCTGCATTGTTTTGCAAGTTCTGACGTTAGTTCGCGGATTGATAAAGGTGATTATTCGGTTGACTGTCTAAACGTCTTCGCCTTCATCAAAGCAGATGATTCGAGTCGCTGGTCCACTGTGGACCATCGACTATCAACAATTTCAACACTTTTTGGTAACTTTAACATCGACGTTAAATTACGATCTGTTTAAAAACATTTTTTTAGTCTAGTTTTTAGTGAACCTTAATTTCGTTGACATAATTAATACAAATGCATCTCACTTACAGAGCGACATCCCACCGGTTACTCGTGCGTAACATACGTGCCCACATATGGCGGGTAAGGCGGTTGATAGAGGACCAAAGGCGACCTAATACTTCCCTGAGGCGCAAACGGATCTAAAGCATAGGGTCCCTATTTCTGCTCCACCCATTTGGCACATATGTTCTGTGTTCACAATGATATATTCGTTGATGCGTCTGTAGATGTGTTCTCTTCTATGTGGATTGCATTTACGAATTAGTTCGGCCAAAGGCCTATAGTCAAGTGAGTGGGAAGTATACAGGAAAAAGATGGAAGTCGCTTCAAATAAATGAGCTTCTGGTCTACTTTGGGAGGATTTGCCAAGCCATCTATGAGTGAAGCCGGCTTCCATGTTCAGAGCTCAGCAAGCTTAACCTGGGTGTTAAATGTTGAGAACAGTAAAATAAGCGTGGATCATCCACATGACCTCGATAAAGCTCCCTATACGGCAACATTACGGAAAAACTGCTATAATCTCAGGGCTATTCCGGACTGCCTAAATGGCAAAGGACTGACGCTACGAGCTATACCAACAGTGCACGAACTTTTGCATCTGAGTCCTCGATAGGAGACTTGATCATTTAGGCAGGAAGGTTGAGCTACGGAGTCATCGGGCTGGGTGAGACAAGAAAATACTACACACTCACCCCCGTCTATGATTCCAGAAAAGACCTGCTCTTTGGGAAGTGCGACAGTAGAGGGGTCGGCGGCGTCGGCGTTCTCGCCAGCACGAGTTTGTCCATGAACGTTGATTCATTCGAGCAACTAGCAACCCGAATCGGACCTTTGCGATTAAAGACATGCGGATCAATGTTGGGCTTAACAATCTTCGTCGTTTACGTGCCAACATTAAACTATGACGAAGCAAAAGTCGAAGCGCTCTGTATGAACTTGGAGAAGTTCTGCAGACAAGATCATATATTCTTCAAAGTCATCATTGTAGATTTGGACGTCAAGATTGGACCAAGAGCATCTGAAGAACGACATAATAGGACCGACCCGACCCGATGGTTTTTCACAAAACCACTAGAAGAAGAATATTATGCCCAATTAGTCCCTAGAGCTGTAGAACGCGCAAGTCTACGTTTGTTCATGGCAGGAGAAATGGGATGCTTAGTGGCACTCGCTCGAGTCACGCGAATATCAACGGCACAACAGGTGAAACCAGTGAACATATAGATAAAAATCGCTTAATAAGTTTCCATAAATCATCCTTCGAACAGAAAGAGAGAACGTAGGATTACCAAACAAGCGAAATAGCCTATAAAATTGGCGACTCTTGCGAGCAAGAAATTGGACGAAAAATGAAATTTTTTGCAATTTCATTAAATAGTTCGATTAGAGCTGCGGTTTGCAAAATCAGCACAAGTAAAAAGTGTCGACAAAGTTCAAGCTAACTACTGCTTGACATACCACCTCTGTCAGCCGTAGTCTCGTTAGTAGTTGAGTAACTCGAGCTGGCACAGGTAAACTCTTTTTGTCTCCGTTGTGCACCAGTCCTACTTAGCCGCCTACGCCTGCTCAAATAGTGAGGCACGTAAGGGCCCACAATTTTGGTATCATGCCATCGTTACAGTTTCTTTATTCCTTTCTAGAAACAAAGAATCGCAGCTTTTTGTTTGGATTATTTTCATATATGAATCAGTTTGAGCTACTTTGACTCGATATTGCCCCGAGGAAGTTTGATAGAGAGTAAAATGGTTTTGCAAAACGTAATCCATGCAGTTTCGTGACTCTAAAGAGTGCTTCAGTAAAGCGGAATATCCTAAACAGCACAGAAGTGAAAGTTTTTTCCTAAAACGAGAAAAAATTTCTATTAAGATGTAATGTTTTCTTACCAACTTGTCGAATGTGCCTACTTTATTTCTTGCTTGAGTGATGTCGCAACCTGCTTGGCCGTATTTAGCCACCTAGAAAACAATCGCATTGCACGGTTCCATCAAGCAGTTTGGAAATTGCTTTAAATTGAATAAGTTCACTTTTCAAAAAGATATAAGAAGATCTAAATATAATAAAATATGGGCCTCAAAAAGTGTCAGCGTCATGTGCAAGCCTTTACGTCATTTTTGTCACCAATCCTAAACATACCCTAACTGGAAAATAGTGTCGATGATCCCATAGATAGCTGGACGGCCGGCGGTAATAAAACTTGTTTTTATTGGCACACGCAAAATCTTCTCCTTTGGGTACACCTAGACATTCCATGTACTCCGAATCTGGTTCCATAGAGGTTGGATACCTAAAATGAGAATATACACTTTCCATTCCCTTCAGAAAACAATATCTTAAAGATCGGACTTCCTCACTGTAGGCATCCGCATCGTCCGTAAGACGAGCTCTTTTATTGATCATTCAGTGATTTGTAATTGAATCAAGAACGTTTTCAAATCGCCAATGTTGCGTGTTAGTATAGCGTGTTAATATGGCTCGGTATTTATTCCTCATCCGACAGACGCAAAAAGCATTCTTTCTATCGTCTGTGATTTTCATTAAGAAAACCTTGGCTTACTAAAAGCTGCTGTGCATCACTTGTTTTGATGAGCAACTACTATTCAATTTATTTGATTTTCAAAATCCTATGCTTCTACTTTGCTGATCATTGATTTTTAAGCATTTAGCTTGGTGTTTTATCTTCTCTGTTGCGTCTGCGGTGCCTTGGAGAGACCACGATACCACTCATTTACTCCCTATTCATCGAAGCGAAGCAACTCGTCACACTGACTTTCCCATTCAGATCTATATATCAGGATCATGCGAAAAACGCCCGTTTTTTTGAGCATGAGACTTAATGCACAACAGAATTAAACTGGTTACTTAGAAACACCGTCTTCTAAGGAATTGACTCGAGCAAATTTCTCGGAACTCGAATTCGACGTCGGGCAACATTTGTTTTACCGGTTTAATGCTTACTGTTAAGGACGACATCAGCACGAAAAAAAATGGAGTAGCTGACACCCACTGACTGCCGTTTGCACCTATTTCTATTCTCTTTCTTACCGCAGTGTATCGTCCTTCATACGTTATCCTTGGCTACTGGGATCGATTTCAGTGCTCAGTTATTGATAGTGATATTCATCTAACTTATTTTGACAGAAACACGTACTCTTAAAATTTTTGCACTAATGTTTGGAGTGTCAAAAATGCGTTCAATGAGTGGTGCCTTATCGCCTCAGTCACTATAACATAGTGCATTTCGTTTTCTTAATTTGGATCATCATATCTTCTGCCTAAGTTTTCGATATTAGCGCGTGCTTGTAGTAAGCCTATGTCATCGTCCCTAGAGGCTTTGGCAGCCTAAGTTGGTTCTAAGATTATACCAACGTTTTCATCTATGTTTAACTCAGTGCTTCTGTGCCTGAGGCACTAACGGAATAACAACTCATAATTTTCACACTGTTTTAGTGACGAATGGCCGCAAGTAACGTGGATATTTCATCTGTTAAGTTCATTAATGGATTGGTAGTCAAGCTTTTGAAAACTGGATGAGCTAAATTCTTGAAAAGAACTCTTGAATCTGACTGTTACATAATAAACCTTAAACAGTAGATACATATTCCTAGGAAACTAAGCGGAAATTTTGCTAACACGGACGGAAGTGTTTTATGAAGACAACTGACCAAAATAGAAGGTAAGAAAGGAGAAAGCAAAGAAGACGTGGTCAAATTGGAAAGCGAACACGTCGCCACCATGAACTCCGCCTATTTTCACACCAATAGAAAAGCGAAAAGGTTTTACAGATATATGTTTAAGTCTACCAAATTTCCGTCCCGTGATGGTAAGGCTTGTTCTTGGCGACCATATCACAGGGTAGGCTCACGTCCTTTCCAAAAAATGACGGTTTGTTTTTAGCACAAGGTGGTGAAGTGGAACAATATCGTGTCGGAATACCACTCGATAGCTGAAAGCACGACAAAACGTTCAAGTACAGTTACATTTTGGCCTACTGACTCTTCATTAGGCTTTTACCACAATCATAACACTTGTTCTCCAATAGTCCGCGTTTTATGCCAGCTCACTTTCCTTACAGCTTGTAAAGAAGCTTAACAAAAAACCTACTCAGCCAATTATTCTTATGGTCTCAGTTGAAGCTAATCTTACATTTTTCTAGCTTATTAATTTGTTGAAGTTGCAGTTTCGTATCAGCGTGCTTTCTAGGCGCATGTGAAGTGGTTTAGACGTCTTGAGCGTCTTCAGTTACTAATTAAATTACCTTAGAGGTATCATACTGTCAAAGTTTGAAGCGAAGTCGACATCACCGATACGAGGCTCACCAAACGTGTAGACGACAAGCTGATCTCCTTCCCGATAGCCTGAAAAAAGCACATTTCAGAAATGCACGAAATCACCGAAGCATGTGGAAGTAGTGGCCGACGAACATATCATTAGTTGAATTGGAATTTTTTGCACCTGTTCACACTAAAAGATATTAATGTGAAGTTAAAGAATATAACTAGAAAGTCGTTAAATAATAGCGCCTGTACTTTCCTGACCACTTTACGTTTCTTTCTCTGGCCATACCTTGTTTGGCAATCCGAGCGGCCGTCAATGCTGCTAGGACCCCACCTCCACCAGTCAAAATAATGTCATAGTCCTAAAATGTTAAACAGTGCAAAAATTACAATCTACCTACACTTTTAAATAAAGTTCTTATTTCCTTATTTTGTAGGCAAGAATGGCAGATTACATACTGCATATTTGGAGATGATGAGTACTTGTTCAACTGACGGCAAAGCACGAGGTGTGCGTTCATGAAGTATTGGTTAACCTAAACGATGTATTCTTGGATAACAGGGTAACATTTTTTTGAAGGTATGCATGTACTTGGACGAAATTTCCTAAAAATAGATCGGTTTTGAGCTGTGCCTATTGTAACTCGTCGGCCGACACCCAGAAAATTTATCGGCGCAACAAGAAATTATGAAAGATTTCCTGTGTGTAATGAGGTCGTTATTTTCTGCTTTGTTGTGCTATTAACTCTTTTATTTGTGGGGGGCAAACGAAGCACTTGGCCAAAAGAAAGTCCCATTTATGTTGCTTTTTATAAGCGATGAAGTTAGCGTAGCTATAACGATGCTTAAGAAGGCCAGGTCTAGAGGAAGCGGTAGCGATAGTTGAAATACCACCGGCTATTCCACGTTGTCAGTTAGTTCGTAACTGCCTGCATGACCGCCTATGTGAAACAACAAATTTCGTAATTTGCCCTTACGGCAGGGACGGTGACTGCATCCGTTCAGGTACGATACGCTTGATCTCTTATAATAATTGCGGAGATGAATATATTGGCGAAACGGGCAGACCTTTGTGTATCCGTATAAAAGAACACCTAGATGGCAAACGAAAACTAAGACGAAGCACCCCACTAGGCACGCATAGGATACAAAAGCATAGCGGAGACGATTTTGAAGTAAAAGTCAATATCTTTGCACAGGAGACTAAACACCAGCACAAAAACTTTTTGAGGCTTTTTGGATAAATGCCAAAAACCCTACAGTGAGTAGGAGAGATGAATGCCCAGAGGTCATACGCCACCTGACCGCGTATGTTCGCATCAATTTCTGATGTGGGATGGTGCAGTCATCAACCATATGCGATTATGATCAGCTGTTCTAATCTTCCTCGAAGTCACGAAAAAAGCGGTGGGTTTTTCGAAAAGTTGCTGATCACGTAATTACTATAGAGTTTTTCGTCTTTCTGTAAGTGTTACTGAAGCGTTTGGCCTAGTAGATTGCATATCAGTATACCCTTCCAGGCTCTGGAGAAGGCGATACTGCCGAAACGTCAGCTACTGTTGTACTGTAGTGTTTTTCCACGGAAGTAAATGTATGCTGCATAACAACCTTGCGATTGCTGAACAAGAAAACGATGCATTCTTTTATTTCTATTGGGAAAAGTTTCTTTTCGATCCACAAGGGTTTTTGAGTGCTTTTGATGAGGCCTAGGAAAGCCAAAACACTGCTATCCTGAAATTCTATGGTGGCTCTATTCCACCAGCATCCACCGAAATTTATGAAGAAGACGAAGTCCTTAACTCGCAGCGGGACTATAACCAAATCCAAATGTGTTCGTGGTTTATATATTGCAGCGAGCGACTCAAATGAAAAAAGCTGGGATTAGCATAATATCTAGTCTGACCATGCAAAAGAAGACCCCGTTGTGCCACGCTAATTTAAATATAAAGCCAAAGATGTCGAAAACAACCAAGCAAAGACGTCAATTGACAATAAACTCGGAAGCGAAAAATCTAAAAACCGACTTTTAGTTAGTCTCAACGCAAATAATTAACACTTTCTTGCACTATTGAACTGACATGCGGCTGACATGAAATATTCATTCGGCAAATGTTCCGAAGTCTTCGTCTTCTTCAGAGCCGCATCTGAGTTGATGATCCACCACTAGCCGTACAAGTGAAAGTGGGTGTTCGTTGTCGCATCGAGTGGAATCCAGTGAAGCGGAGCAGCGGCCGAATAAAAAATCTCATTTGAAAGTGTTTTTTCTATACAGCGCGACTGTTGCTATTCGGTACGATAAGAAGCACCCACATCTCCTGGATCATCGACTTGGATAAATGCGGCTCTAAAGAAGACGAAGATGTCGAAACGTTAGCCGAATAAACACTTCGTACCAACCTCTTGTCAGCCCAATAATACAAAAAAAGTAAGGAGGAAATAATTTCTTAATTTTTAACTCTCTAATATAAAACTGATGAGAGAAAGCGGGTATCACAGTGGTGGCGATCCCGTCCATTACGCGGACGGCTTAATGCACCCAGGTGCAAGTTCGAATCCGTCCAGACCAGCAAGTCCCTCATCCCTCCAGGATGGGAAAGTGGTCTTGTACCAAACTTCTATGAAACGTTCTTTCTTTGTTATCAAGGCGGAAACGCTTCAGCTCAACTTTTCAGGAGTCTAATACAGTCGAGTCAACCAGCATTCGCAATTCCTCAAGGAAGTCACACGAATTCCTTCCCAGATGGTAGATACAAGAAAACGAATCGAATGAAGGAAGCGCTTGGATCTGGCCAGTGCGGTAATGTTGAGTCATGGAATACTACTAATAAATAGAAAAACTGAAAACAGGAACGGAGTACTCGGAGATTAGAAAGCTTCACATACGCTTCCAATGCCAAAAAATTCCACTAGTTATTTCAACGACTTAACTCCTTGGAAAAGAAGTTGATCCTGAAAAATCATCTGCAGACTATACCTCTTTAAAAAAAAGTTTCTATCAGTTAAAAAGCCTATAAAATTTACCACCGTTCTTGTTCCTCTGAAGACGACTATTAACTGCTTTCTCACGCTAGACACAACTGAAAATAATGTGTACCAGGTCAAAAATCGTTTGTAAAATCTACTTAGATGATCCATAAACGAAATCGTTTCGAAAATTCATGATGCTACCTTTAGTTAAACAGCATACGTTTACTTCAGTACATTAACACACATACAACACAATCGTAGCTGACGTTTCGGCAGAATCGCCTTCATCAGAGCCACTTTTTTTACCTGTTTTCCACCGAGAAAGAACAGCCACTCAGAGTCGCATATTGTTGAGCTGCTGTTCTTCCCCGGTGAAAGACAGGTGAAAGGAGCGGCTCTGAAGAAGGCGATTTTGCCGAAACGTCAGCTACCTTCGCAACTGCTTAGAGGGAAAACGACGAATTCACAATTCAATAAAGGTTTAATTACTCAAGTTTGAGGTACGTCACAAACGGCTCATAGTTCTTGCGCACTCTCGCGAACGCCCCTCACATCGTTGAGTTGTGAGCCGTTACACTCAGCTGTTCCAGAAAATCTAAAAAAAGGTGGAAATTGAAAAATAAACTCTACGATTAGATGCCGTAAAATTTGAATTTTGAAAACTTGTTGCTTTGAAGTTTTGACGGCGCTCCTTCGATGCAATAAGAACAACCCGTTTCTTGAATTGTGACTCACAACGAGAGGTGGATCCTCTAAGGCAATCGGCGGCGATGGGTTCGCAGTTTAAACTGTTTCGGAGCTCAGTAGCATTTCCCAAAAACCATTGCACCAAAAAATTCCACAGTGCTTTTTTGGTGATTTGCTACTGGTCTAATCCATAAGAGCTTCCTGAATTAGGGTGAAACGACTACGGTGGAAAAGCATGAGCATAAAAATTACGAAGTTTTCTGGAGACTTCGAAGACTGCTTTCCTTAATCAGCTGAAAGGTAGAAATTCTTTACGATAACGTGTTAAAAATTGTCATCGCTCTAAATTAAACAATGAAGTTTATTTTGAACTGATGTAGAGCACTATAAAGATGCACGATGAAATTTGTCATTAATACCAGGACTACCTAACATCTGTGTTCAACGCAGTAGCAGTTTTTCCTTCTTTATGCACAGCCCTTTTTTTTGGTTATGTTGAGTCACTTGACCACCATTGTGGGCTTTTTTCTACGTTTTTACTTTACCTTACTTTTTCTGCTGGAAATATGAGGCGGTATACAGCGAAATAGAATCCACAACAGCAACATATATCCAAAAAAGAAAAATTCAACGCCGCTCGGAGATCTTTGGCCTCAAAGTCTATTTGGATTACACATTTCACGGCGTCGGAATACTCGTCATTTACCAAATCATTCGTTTTCTACGAGGTCGTTTTTCTATGGAGTCCAAGCGATCACTATTGCAACTTCACCATGGCATACGGTTCTACCTTCACCACCTATCATGTAAATTACAAATTGGAATAAGATCTTAGTGGAATAAAGTAGTGCGTAAATACCTTATCATTTCTACTTTACGGAACCACATCTCGGCTCATAATGGCTTTGATTAAAATAAAACCACTAACGTCACCAGGTATTTTCCAGTGCGGCATACTTCTTCTTATCCTAGCAAGATGAAATCTTCGTTTTCTTTTGAGCTGCGAAACTTAACTGCTTTTTAGGCTTTTTGGGGTTGTTTCGCCAGGCTTGTACTTAGAACAGCAATGCAATTGTGTAAGCATACTTTCCGTTTTGTAGAAAAAACGAGGTTCCCGAATTCGTCGCTTCTGTTTTCGGTTCCTAGTAAATTTTTCAAGATCTGGAATTCATTTTCAATTTTTCCGAAGATCCTATTCTACGCAAATCTAAAATTAGAGTAACACTCTAGAGAGGCATGCATGTAAATATAGTATACGGCAGCACAGAAATTTATGTGTTTTTGGGGCGGCAGAGTAGCGTTTCTTTCAACAGTCTCTCAAGTGCTACATACCCCAAACATCATATACTTGGATACTTAGGCACTTGGTCGGCCCGTCCTCACTCGTTGTGCGGACCCAGCATATTCTCTACTTATCGGAGTTTTGCTGATTTAGCCATTAAGTCTCCCTGCAGTCTCTAGGTCAGGCTGCCCAAGGTCTGCACCACAGGCAGTCACCAACCTTGTGGATCAGAAGGAGATTTGTCACCAAGCGACTTTGATACCAAAACGGTGGAGAATCCTGTTATCTGTTTACTCTTAGCCAGGCTTTTCTTGAAAAGGCAGGACTCCATCTCAAATTGGAAGACCATGCCGGGGATGAATCCTCCGCTGTACATCGCAGCTCGACACGCAGAAACACTTTCCAGCCATGATGAGGCGGTAAATCGCTGGGAGAAAGGTGCCAGACTGTTTTTGAATACCGAAAGAGTCAATAATATGTAAAGTTTTTGTTAACCTAGTGAAAGCATAAGAATCTGAATTTTTTGTCGTTGGCCCTACAGTACTATTGCAAAACATGCTCCATTATCGATATCACAGGTATAAA